CATTTATGCTACAAAAAATATTTATTTCGAAAAGCATGAAAGCTTTGATCCTACTAATATATCAATTTTTATATGTCTCCTGGCCAAGGGAAAACAATAAAATTTATCAAAAGTTCCATTTCTAAAAATTCGGCAAAATCACTATAAATCCAGAGACTCCTTTTATAACGATCGCTTTTTTCTGTTTTTCTAGAAGAATTTAGCAGAAGTTCTAAGAATTCCTCAAAAATCGTGAAAATCCAGAGACTTCTTTTATAACGATCACTTTATTCTGTCTCCCTAGAAGAATGAACTAAATTCAGCAAAAGTTCTTTTTCTAAGAATTGCTGAAAATTACGAAAATCCAGGGATAATATTTCTCAAATTACAGAAACTCTGATATTAATGTTTTTAAATCTCTTCCGAAAAAATAAAATAAAAAAATAAAATAAAAAAAATAAATAAAAGAAACCAAATAAAATTTAACAAAACTTCTAAAAACTGCAGGAAAATACCACGAGATTTTTTTAACAACTCTTTTGAAGAAAAAAATATTCTGAAGATGAGATTGTAAATTCATCTCCATTCACGATTTCTTTGTAGTTAGAATCATATTTCATTCTAAAAGAGTAATGCTTTTAAGTGACTTTAGAAAATTATCTTCTTATTGAACTATTATAAGAATTTTTTAATGCATTGCCCACACCACACCTACATCTCTAATGTAGTTTTGAAATGTTTACAAATTTATTTTTCGGAGCTGGCTACTAAATGAGATATCTGTGACGTACGTCACTTATTGAAAAAATTTTAAAAATTTTTCATGAAATGAATTACAATTGAAATGAAATCTTTCGGGCAATATAAAGATTAGCAACATTTTTAAATGGTTAAAAAATATTTTTTTGCTTGGAAAACACCAGTTTTCCATGATAATATGTTCAAGATATTGTACTGTCATCAAGTGTAAATCCCAATCTAGAAACAATACTAAGGATGAGTTTGATTTATAACTTTATTATTGCAAAAAGGCCATTATTATTGTCTCAAGCTGTTCATACGTTAAATTTAATTCGTCCATCCCTTATTGTACTTGATCATTATTTTGTAAGACAATGTAAAGTTTAAATTATAATCAAAATAAATTGTGTTGGGCTTTATATGTAGTATCTCAAATCTGCGAGATTTAGCTTAAACCGCAATTTTTTTTTAAAAGTATCAATAATAAAAATATAAGTAAGTTTATTTCCTGATTTAAGAATACAACTAGTGGTCATTATTTTTGTAGTTTACAACAACTACAATTACTTTGTTACAAACGTAGTTAACAGCAACTGTAGCTACTTTTTTTTTTAAATGTAGTGGCCACAAACTACTTTAGAATTTAGTAACTACTTCAATACTTTAAGGAGACGAAATTTGCAGGAGAACTTACACCTATATTCAAAATGGTTTCGAATAAGAAATTGGCTTACATGAAACATTAGAAAGAATAATTAAGGAATATTTGAGCTTATTTCAAAACATTTTTTTTTCATTCATTTAACATTCAACTTTAAACCTTTTAGACAGCGACTATTCAATTTAAGAAAGGCGAAACTATCAAATACTTGTTTAATGTTCTTTTAATTCCTCTAAGAAATGAAGTTCCTTTGAAATAACCTCACGAGTGTGCATGTGAAAGTGTGTGATTAGTTATCTATTTTACGTAATGGCTAGTTTATGTATTAGTTATAGATGGTTTTAAATATTTAAATACGTAATATCTATTAACGCTCAGCAGCAGCCATAGGATCATTTTCATTGCATCCATTGAAGGATCCATTTGTACCCATCAAATTCGGAAAATTACTTGAGTTAGTAGAGCATTCTTATTATTTTTAAATAAAGTTAAAAGTAATTGACAGGATCACTACTAACTACTGCTTTTTTAATTTTTTATTTTTTTATTTATTGAGTTTTTGATTTATTTATTTAATTTTTTTTTGTATCGCTACACGATTTTTTTAACACTCACATACTAACACAACTCATAAATACCTATTCCTACCATAGCCGGTCGACTTCTTGATTGAATGTATGAAACATGGATGTTAGGAAGGAAATAAACTGAAAAGTTTTTTTATTATAATTAAACAAAATTGTATATTGCCAATTTTTGCGTATTACAAACACAAGGAATAAGAATTTTTAATTCATTGCTCATCGCATTTTTTACATATGTGTTTCCAGTGTACATTTTCCGTAAACGTATTGCTTCGAATTATTATTATTTCCATAATTCTTATAATTATAAGAAGATATAAGGATTATAATTCTTATAATTATTCTTATAATTAATATTATTTCTTCTAATAACTTGCGCTCTTTTGACTGTTTCGACAATTTTCGGGGTAAAAACTAACAGTTAGTTAAAAATGAAGTAAAGCCATCAAAATAAAATACAAGCAACTTACCGAAACATTTAGTTTTTGTCACTTTTTCTTACGCAAAAATACGAATCTAAAATTTTAGGTACTTTCTTGAAATTTGAACTCACAGTTATTCTGATTGAACTAACTACGCAACAGTCTTTGCAGAAATCGAATGCAATACGTTGCATACGCATATGGCCAGGAATTCGACTTCTGCCACGCCATTCGCTCAACCACAACCCGTTTATAGGGCGGGTCACATTCACACACGCAGGAGAAAAGACATAGAACACACAGAGAGAGAAAGAAACATCCATGCCTTGCCCGGGATTCGAGCCCGGGACCTTTCTGATGCAAGGACATTTCCCTGACCCCCACGCTTTCCTGTCGGCGTAATTTCTGATCCGATAACCTTATAAAGCAATATATTGTTCTCCCGGTCAGATGATCGGTATTTGTAGAAATAGGTTTACGACAAGTGTTATTCGAAATACACAAAATACAAAAAAAAATCATAATAATAGATTATTAACTGTATATAATTCTTAGAAAAGTTCATGAAGTCAGATGTGCAAAAACGATAAGATGATAAGCTCATTTTCGATCCAAGAGCTCTTAAATGGTTATTTGACCGGTTATGGTACGTTTAGTCTTTAAAAAAAAGTAGCGCGCTACACTACAAACTACGAAAAAAAGTAGCGAATACAGTAGTTTCGTTACTTGTAGTGGAACTACTGAATAAACCACTGAATAAACTACTGAATACCACCACTGAATAAAAATATTCTTAACTGTTTCTAGTTTTTTTTTTTTTTTTACAATAACTTACCTCTACGCTTTTTTTTTCTTTCTATTCTTTGGATAAGCAAGTTATAGAATCTCCCACGAAATGATGAAGAAGTCCAATCAATGCAACCATTCTTCAGAAAGTAAAGAAGAGGAAGAACAATTGTAATCATCCAATGGTATTATTGGGGGCAGGCAGAGAAGAAAAGAAGGGGATTGGTTGAAGAAAAATACTTCAAGATGATCTAAGGTAACAATGCTTTGGGCGGAACAATGCAGGAGGCGCATGCCCAATCCTTTCACAGGACCTCCTTTCTCTGAGGTAGAAAAAATTTACCTCCTTTTGATTCATTAAAAAGGAAGACACCTCATGCATGCTTTTCCTCATGACTAACAATTATAATGCATATTGTTCGATTCCTTCTTTTTCAATTGTTTAAATACAATTTAAGTGACAGCTTACTTTCTTTGCTCATTGAATTTCGGTGCTTTGAGATTATCCCATCGACCGTTTTCGTACTTTGGGATCATCCCGTCGACCGTTTTCGTACTTTGGGATCATCCCGTCGACCATATTCGTACTTAGGGATTATCTCGTCGACCGTTTTGCACTAAACCAGATATTATCGCCAACCTAAATTTCTTATCAATCTCATTTGCATTTAAACATTTTTGGTCCTATTAAAAACTTTTTATACTAAGAATCGTTCTGTTTTCCGAAGCTTTGGATTCGGAGTAAACCTGATTCAACCGTAATACAGATGAAGGCAAAACTTATCAAGCATTTCGCTCAGTTACTGCTATATCGGTGGAAAAAAAATAATGTGACTAGAAATCGACAAATATTTTAAATGTTTAAAAAGAAAAACTACTGAACTTAATTTAATAATTGCTAATTTGTCGATTTGGCAGCTCAAATATTACGTACGCATGCTTTTTGGCAATTTCAGGCTTATCCTCCCTCATTGTCAGAAAAAGTTACAAATTTCTACCATGTTTACGTAAGAAATTCGCAACGCTCTTTTTTTGCTTTAATCCAATTTTAAAATTTAATTAAATTGAAAGATATAACTTAGCATAAAACAAAATGCACACTTTTAATTTATTTTATTAAATTTTGAAACTTCTTTTCCCAAACTTATCTTTTATTTCAAATTTTTTTGAAGTGTTTTATTCATGCCCTGAGCCGCAATGGCTCAGGGGATAGAGCGTTCACCTTCCAATGAGGTGACCTGGTTCGAATATCAGCGATGGCTGGTCGATATGAATTCTGCATCCGGCGTGCACCGACCACAGTGCTGACGTGAAATATCCTCAGTGGTAGACGGATCATGGGTTAGAGTCCCCTTGCCGTCAGGCTAACCATGGGAAGTTGTTGTGGTTCTCCTCTCCATGTAACGCAAATGTGGGTTAGTATCATCAAAAAGTCCTCTACGAAAGCAAATTTCTCCCAATAGTTGATCCAGGAGTTCCCGCGTCTTCTGGATTGGGTTCAAAATTGCAAGGCTATGGAGTTGAACATTATTAGTTGTAAACTCGAAAATTGGGCCGGCTGTTCAATGACAGTTACAAAATAAAATAAATAGCGTTTTGTTCATGCCCCTCCCCCCTTATCATCAAAAATAAGCCAATCACAACCCCTCTCCCCTTTAAGTGGATACTTAATATCTGAACAGCCGAGATTTTTTTTTCTTTGAAAGTGATTAAAATCAATGTCTAAATTTCTGTAATTTCAAGCACTCAATAACAAATACTTTTTTCATTTCAAAAGCAATCGTTTCACTGTTTTTTGTCTGAACATAAAATAGTAGGAAAAAGTACCTGTTGTTGGGTGACAAGCTGTTCTTTAAGATGTTGTAGCTGATTGATCATGTCAGTAAGGCAACGTTCTTTTTCTTTGATATTGTCTCCTGATAAGGCTAAACGTAAGCAATCGCTTTCCATCATACTTAATGGCGCTTCATTAATTGCAGGTGGTATCCTAAGAGAAATCAATCATTTTATTTCCGAACACAATTTTCAGTTCATTGACGATTTTAAATACAATATAGACAAGAAGAGTTAACCCATTATTGTATGGCCACAAAAGGTGGTTTTAAAAACACCTGTAAGGAAAAATTGGTTGAACAAGTATGTTTATACCAAAGGGATATTATACCAAATAAATATTATACCAAACGAATATTATACCAAATTGATATTATACCAAATAGATATTATGCCAAACGGATATTATACCAACTGGATATTATACCAAATGAATAATCTTTTAGTTTGTATTTGCTAATTTATTTCTTCCAGACCAGAAAGTGAAAAACCATTTTTGATCCCTTTGAATACACACAGAAAGCTTCTTGTGCATTCTTTGTATTTAAATCTTGTAAAACTAAGTTTTAACTAGTTTTACAAGATTAGTTTTTACTAACTATTTCTAAATTTTTACTAACTCTTGTAAACTGAGCTAGTAAAAAGACAATTTTACTAACTCAACGTGTGCTCTGAATTTATATGCTGCGAGCCTGCTTACCACAATCAATTCAATTTGTGGTCAGATAATAAGCTGTGAATATGGATATATATTGTGTTATTAATAACTCATATGTAAGTTTAAATTAAGACCAAATAATAAATTGTGAATGTATGGGAAGTAAATTATCTTTTAAATAAATCATATGTGAATCGATTCAGTTTGAGGTGCAAGTATAATTCTCTTATAAATGACTCATTTGTAAATCAATTCAAATTGCGATGCAAGTATAGAAAGCGAATTCTCTTATAAATAACTCATGTGTGTATCAATTCAAATTGAGGTGCAAGTATTGAAAGCGAATTTTCTTATAAATAACTCATATGTGTGTCAATTCAAATTGCGATGCAAGTATAGGACATAAATGTTTGGATCCATATAAATAAATCGAATGTTGATGCAGTTTGCCTAGTAATAAATGCAAAACAAAAAAGGAGTACTAACCTGATAGAAGGACTCGTGTTAAAATATTCATTTTCACCAGAAGAAGATGTTGTAAGTCTTCTTAGTACATCATCCATAGTCCTTTTACCTTGATCAGGAGAGAAAATAATCTCCTGCTGTGATGGGTAATGTATTTGACTGTTGTGAGGACCGTTATTTTCTAAAAGAGGAGGTTTTTGCAAAAAATCGCAGGCAAAACTATTATTAAGACAAGATTCTGAATCGGAGTCTGTTGTAGTTTCAGATCTAGTAGAAGAAACACTTAACAATAACCTATGTTTCCTAGAGGATGTAAGAATCATTCCGTCACTAGCTAGACTGTCACAAGAATCTTGGTCAAGAGATGCTCTTCTGTGTCGCACTTTAAAAGAGTCAAAAGTATTATTATTATTTAATAGTTCTTTGGATTCTGCATTCTGTTCATCTTCTAGATCTGCTCTAAATATATCTTCAATTTCAGATTGAAGATCTTCGTTCTGTAGTCCATCCGCTGGCAATTTAGTTGGTGGACTTTTCCGTTTTGAGGACATCCTCCTAGAAATAGAAAAATTTCTCTTTAGAGCTTACCATAACACTGTTTGAAATTTCTTGGAAAAAAGGGTTAAATGACAATTTATTTAATTGTTATTTTATCGTATTGAAATAAAACAGTCACATAACCATAAATAAGATGGTATTCAAATTGCTAAAGTTGAAGAAAATCGTTTATCAACTACTTTCACCTAATACGGTTAAACAACCAAAATTTCATCACAGCAACTAGGCCCACTTAATGAAGCCACTTTGTACCTGGCAAATGGGTATATATTATAGTCGAGAGGGGTAATCTGTCAATCTCATGACAAACGGAGCAGGAGTTCAAGCATTGACACCACAATATTTCCTCCATTTCCCTCAACACATGAGAAGTTTCTAGTGTCCGGCAATCTCCAATTTGTGACCCTGGGCAATTAGAATAAGATACACTCATCTTATTCTCGCATAGATGGCAGCACCATAAAGCTGCTGAACTATACCTGTAATGTCTAGTAAACAACATTTCAATGGTTTTGAAACCATGCTAGTTGTAAAGGGTTAAAAAACCGTAAAGGTAAAAACTGCTCTTGACCGTCAACTTTACGGTTAATTGGATGGACAGACTGCTGTCGGTTATTTTACCACAATTTTAAAATGAAAATTCTAACAGTGCAGATCATCTAAATATATAGGACTATTTTATCTGAAAGAAAAAATGTATCAAACTCAAAAACCCATTAAATATTGAGTTTTTTTTATCTGAATGTTATTATGTTATCTGAAAGTAAAGAAAATATACTTGACTTAACTAACGGTGTCACTCCTAAAATAGTTTAAAATTAAGAAAACAATTTTTTTTTCACTTTTCATAAGAATAATAATTATATGATTTAAATATTTACTGAATATTACTGCTTTTTCTTGATTTTCAATTAACCTCCTGAAGCTCAAGCTCTAAATAATTACAAGTAATTTGCTAAATTTTTACGGAGAAATATGTAGCTTCGAAAAAAATATACTTAGAGAGGCATTTTTTAAAAAAACATTTAAATAGTTAAACTTAATTGTTTTTTCAGTTATTTTAAAAAATGGCTTAAAAAAATCATGAATTTTAATTTTTAGCATTTTTTAAAAATTGCAGAACATTTTTATAGCGATTTTGTTTTGATATTTTGTCAAAGAAATAAGATTGTTTATGCTGAAATGATAAGATATGCCGTAAAAATTTCCAAAAAGTTGCTTGAATCGGACGTCTTAATTTTCTTTTCAAAGATTTTTCATTTTAATTAAAAAAAAATTCTAAAGAGAAGGTTAATTCAATTGCATTTCACGTAGAGAATCATTTCGTAAAGGCATACAATTTTTTTTTTTAAACTGATAAAATTAAACCAAATATTAGTCGTTGGAATTTGGGAGTTTTTCTGAAAATAAGCAATTAAAGCAGCACCCAGAAAACAAAATCTGCGTACTTAAGCATGTAAAGAATTCGAAGGTATTGTAGGAGAATTTGAGATTCTCAAACTATTATATTTTCCTTAAGAAAATCTTTTCTTAAGGACATTTACTGAAAATACACAATTAAAGCGTCACATAGGAAACAAAATCCAAGTACTTAAGCTTATAAATAATTCGGAGGTATTGTAGGGGAATTTGAGACTCTCAAACTATTATATTTTCCTTTAGAAGAGATTTTCTTAAGGACATTTACTGAAAATAAACAATTAAAGCGTCACATAGGAAACAAAATCCAAGTACTTAAGCTTTTAAATAATTCGGAGGTATTGTAGGGGAATTTGAGACTCTCAAACTATTATATTTTCCTTTAGAAGAGATTTTCTTAAGGACATTTACTGAAAATAAACAATTAAAGCGTCACATAGGAAACAAAATCCAAGTACTTAAGCTTTTAAATAATTCGGAGGTATTGTAGGGGAATTTGAGACTCTCAAACTATTATATTTTCCTTTAGAAGAGATTTTCTTAAGGACATTTACTGAAAATAAACAATTAAAGCGTCACATANCTTTACTGCTCTGTATTTCAAACAACTCTTTTCAATCGATTATTATTAATTTAAAATATTAACCATCGTTGCAACCATGAATTTTTCTTAAATAAGCACATTTTCTGAAAATAAGCAATTAAAGCATCACCCAGAAAACAAAATCTGCGTACTAAAGCATGTAAAGAATTCGAAGGTATTGTAGGAGAATTTGAGATTCTGAAACTATTATATTTTCCTTAAGAAAATCTTTTCTTAAGGACATTTACTGAAAATAAACAATTAAAGCGTCACATAGGAAACAAAATCCAAGTACTTAAGCTTTTAAATAATTCGGAGGTATTGTAGGGGAATTTGAGACTCTCAAACTGTTTTATTTTCCTTAAGAAGAGATTTTCTTAAGGACATTTGCTGAAAATAAGCAATTAAAGCGTCACATAGGAAACAAAATCCACGTACTTAAGCTTATAAATAATTCGGAGGTATTGTAGGGGAATTTGAGACTCTCAAACTATTATATTTTCCTTAAGAAGAGATTTTCTTAAGGACATTTACCGAAAATAAACAATTAAAGCGTCACACAGGAAGCAAAATTCGCGTACCTTAGCCTGTGAAGAATTCGGAGGTATTGAAGCTCTTAAGCAATTATATTTTCCTTAAGAAGGGATTTTCTTAAGGACATTTACTGAAAATAAACAATTAAAGCGTCACACAGGAAGCAAAACCCGCGTACTTTAGCCTGTAAAGAATTCGGAGGTATTGAAGGAGAGTTTGAAGCTCTCAAACTATTATATTTTCCTTACGAAGGGATTTTCTTAAGACTAATTTATCTTTACTAAATATTAATATTCCCTTTTAATCTATTGCTATTAATTTATGCATTAATCATCCTAGTATCCATACACTTTTTCTTAAAAACTTACTTTATCAGAAAATAAGCGAGTAAAGCTTCTCTTAAAAAAAAATAATAAATAAATAAAATGTATAGACTTCCACGAAAAGAGGTGAGAGGTATTGTAGGAGAATTAGAAGCATATTTTTGTTCTTAAAACAAACTTGTGTAGATATTAATAATTATGAAGTTGATTGCAGTGAGAGTGAAATGGAATACCTTTTATTGAAATGTCACCTTTCAACCACAAACATCCGGTCATCCATTTCTTAAGCCGAAACAATCTTTGACAATAACTAATGTTGCGCTATATTGAAAGAAGCTGGAAAGAGGGGTCATTCGTCATGTGAGCAGAGTGACCGCTCCTCTTGGGTCCAAAATCTCGGAAGCGTATTGCTTAATTCAGTGAACACAGTGTAATATGGGGGCTGCTTCAATAGGGTGACAAATGGTCAAGAAGAAATTGTTTCGACGCCCTAAAAATGGCAATCTATATTGTCGGTAGATGCTTTTCAAGAAACTATTTTCTCTTTCATTTTATCACACTATTTAATTATTTATGTCTCCGTATTTCGATGAACAAAATTCTTCTAGAATTAAACAAAAATTTAAATCTAATCTCTTTCTTAAATTTTCATTGGTATTAAAAGGAGTATAATAATCAAAATCAAGTTACAGCTTTCATTTAACACTGGAAAGGCTGAAACTTAGTATATATACCTATATTGCCCAAAAGCAGTCAAAATAACTACATTGTGAAAGAATAACTAATGTGTAAAGAATTTTGTTTAATTAATTTTGAATATTTTTATATTATTTACAGTTATATAACAAGTTATTAATAAATATTAACAATAAAAAAAAATTTACTTCACTTGGAAAAAAAACGATTTATGCATTATTATTTGTATATTTTTTGCAAATAAAAAAGCAGTTAAAGAAGTCAAAATGACTTCTTTGCGAAATCTAGTGTTAAATTGGAAATAAATGAATAAATAATTATATTGTCCGTTTAGTATTGTATATTTAAATATTAAAGTTGCTCAGACGGCTCTATGATATTTTGATAAACTGTTATGTTCATTTTGCACGAAACGAACGTAATTGAACCTACGCCATTTGAAGCAAAACATCCCCAGGTGAATATGAAACCTCCACCTAATAGGCACCTACGGAATACTTTTTTTTTTTTTAAATTATGCTAATAATACTTCCATCCATCTGATCCATCCAAATTCAACTTTTTTTTTTCATCATAAAAAATTATTTTTATCCATTTCTTATCCCCGGTCATGACTACCTGACTCTGGTTTAATTGCCTTACTTTGTCCCTCTAAAACAATCGAGGTTGAACCGGCTACATACATGAATCTTCCCGGCCTTCTACAGTCCATGGGCAAATTATTAGACGCATTATAAGATTCTATGTAAAAACTTAATTATCAGATGATATTATACAGCTTTGTTGTTTTTAAGCGACTGAAACCGATTTGCACTTGTTTACTTTCATGTATCAATTCGTTAAATTAAACGATATATAATATAAATTCATCGATTAGTTAAATTAGACGATATGTTATATGAATATGGAAAAAATTTCATATCAGGTATTATATTAGTATATTATAATAATTAGACAAAATTATTAGGCGCACTGCAGTTTTTTTATTTTCTTTTTTTTTTAATAATTACACGTTTTGCGCGAGTTTATGTGCAATACATATATATTTAAAAATACGTGTAATGGGTTTTTATTCAGAAGATTTTTATATACTTCCTATTTTTATTTATTTTTATCGTATTAACGTATACGTATTTTTAACGTATTTGTATTTATTTTTAACGTACTTGTATTTATGTTTTACATAATTGATTTATGGATGTAAACAAGTGTATACCTGTTTCATCCGTGTAAAAACAACAAAGCTTTATAGTATCATCCGATAATTAAGATTTTACATAATAATAATAATTAGAATTCTAATAATTTAGAAAGTCTAATAATTTAGAAAGGGACTTTAATTGTGTTATACAGAATTTTCTTTCTTTCTTTTTTTTTTTTTTTTTTGGACAAACATTTGAACGCATTATTGGAATAGGTTTTCTGGTTTAGTATTTCCCAAT